CCCCAAAACCCCAAAACCCCAAAACCCCAAAACCCCTTATAAATTTATTATGGCTGAACATGGATTTAGATTTAGTAGCCCAATCACAGTGATAACTTGAGTAGATACACATTTTTGGCTTGAAAAACTCCTCCAAAGTGCTCCTAATTCTTCCGGTTTTTGAGGAACAGCAACTTTGAACTTAAAAAATGGTGTTGTATTTGGACATTTTCATAGAGAAATGCAGTAATGAGCCTTCAAGTCTCCTTTCTCGCCAACTTAGATTGTAAATCTTACTGTTGACTTTTGTCAACACAGAAATGTGTCTCGTAAACTGATTTCTGCTTTTCTTTATTTGCAACAGACGTTATTCACTTCAAAAATATTCTGAAGAAAACTTGATCAAAATTATTTTTAAATCGGAAAGCTTAATATGAACAAAGTAATGGAAACCTAATTCCGAATGTATAGCAGAGAAGTTATACTTGACTGTCATCTGTATTTCACAGTTCTAAGAGACCTGTTAGAGCACCCAAAATTGTTCTGAGAAGACAATGGTGAATGAGACAACAAATTTAGTGTAAACCTGCTCAAATGTTACTCGCTATGTAAAGTAAATATATCACCCTCTGAGGCTATAAGCAGACCAGATAAAGCCTGTTAGGCAAATTCAGGCACACAAGAGCCAAGACTAATCCCTCAGAGACGATAAAAGAGATCTCTAATGGTCATACAAAGCCTATGTTTAGCCAGAAATGATCTATGGCTGCCGTATTTACTTGTTTAAGTCCTTGTCAATTTTAGAGAACCCAATGGAGCAATGCAATGGGTTTCTATTGACCAGATTCTGGCAATAGCCCCATTTTGGAACCATTTGCTTAGGTATGTGGAGATTTACAGGAAATTTCCTGTAATTTTTCAGTTTTGGAGGAGATTTTGGATCATTTTTAGGCTAAAAACTGGTTTGAAGACATTAGATTACCTGAGCAAGGGGCTTTAAAGGACATGCAGTAATGGTCGATAAGAGATTAGGCCGCGAAGGTGATGGGGTTACGAAGAAGGATGAGGAGATAGGTGAAAAACGATTGTTTCTGGTATTAGAATTAGGATTTTATCGAAAGTAGGTCTTGAGTTGGATTTAGCCTATTTTTGAGTTATTATGATGAGTTAGAATGTAATTTTAAAGACACATGTAAAGTTTTAGTTAAATTATATGAAAAACTATCGCTTTTATTAATAAAAATAATCAAACTTGATTATTTCTAGCATAAATCAAAGATAACGGCCCTTAACACTCGAAAAGAGCATTCCTGGCTCAATCATACCCCAAACTCCCAACTTCACTTCTCAGACCCCAATCTCACCTAACAAATCTTGCTTTCTTCTTCATTTTCTTTACTCTAAGATATTGGTTTATGTCCATGTTGTTCTTCTTTTTGTATTTAATTTATTTTATCGTTGATTTTATCTTGGGGTTTTGGGGTTTTGGGGTTTTGGGG